CGAGGAGGAAGGATGCTCAGGGAGAGGGCAGGTGGCCAGACAGGGAGCAGCAAGTCTAGTTTCCAGATCCCACCCCCCCTCTCAATCAGCTGCACTGTACTGCTTCTTTCATTCTGTTCATCTTGCACTAGGTAGGCTCAATCTGGGTAGAATGAGCCTGAAACTTGAGTGTCTTCATTTACAGTAGTCTCAGAGAACTAAGTAAGGCAAGGTTAATAATACTAAACTCTGGAGATAGTTTGCATTTAACAAATGTCATCAACTGGTATTTACTGAGTAAGATGATAGATGATAGATAGATAGATAGATAGATAGATAGGTAAGATAAGGTAGAGAATAGATTAGATAGATAATAGATTAGATATATTAGATACATGATAGATAAGATAGATAATAGATTAGATAAGATAGATTAGATAATAGATTAGCTAGGTAGATCAGATAGATGTATGATAGATGATAGATAAGATAGTAGATTAGTTAGATAATAGGTTAGTTAGATAGATTAGATAGATACATAATACATAATAGGTGTTATATAGATTGGGTAGATAGATAATAGATTAGATAGATACAGGATAGATGATAGATAGATAATTAGAGAGAGAGAGAGAGATTAGATAGATGCATGATAGATAATAGATAATAGCTAACTAGATGTTGAGCTAGCTAACACTGTCCTCATCTTCACACTGTCAGTTCAGCAGAAGATCACTCAATTCTGTTGTGTCCCTATTACATCCCTCAAAGGCAACACATGAATCCACATGGGACTTGGTTTACCATTTAATCATTGATTCTCTGCTAAAATGACATAATAGCTTCAGATCATTTCCATCTAGGGTGAAATTCTTTAGATTTTGTACAAAATATATTTTGAAATACCTGTACCTATCCGTTGCTCTGTCCCTGGTGCACATTTTGCTTGATATCATTCCCTAGAAGTCATTTCATTCCAGAATTGTTTAATTAATGCTAAATTGAGACAGCTAAAATTGTCTTTTGATGTGGCTTAGCAATGATGAGTATCTCAAAAGTGCTGCCTGATTGACAGCTGTCTATTAGAAATGCATCCATTGGATGAACGATGTGACAGCATACATTTTAGCTCTTGGGTTGCACTCATTTTTAATGTATGGGTTGGCTTACTGTTATCTGAATATCTTTACATCATGAGGCCCTAATTAAGATTTTTACCAACCTCTTTCATTGAGACTTTCCCAGGTCTACAATCAAACAAACATTTAATAAAATGACTGTTTCTACTGCTGAAAATGATGATGACAAATAGGTTCAGAAGCATGGACCAAAGCCCTTCAATATCATTATCTAATTTTAAAATATGATACTGAAGAACATTATAGTGTATTTCAGTAATAGCGGGATGGAAAAACCACAAGATTAGAAACTTGAATCCGCATAGTACAGACAGGTTAATAATGCTCATCTGGCTTGACTCACTGGGTTGTTCTGAGAAGTAATTTTCAAGCAGAAGATCTTGTTACTATTCAGAGAGCCGCAATAAGGCTTCAAGAAGAAGTTCCAAGGTAAGAAAAGTTGTTGACTTCTATAAGCCTGTGTCAGCTACAGACGTGGAGTGGAAACCAGGATGCGCTCAGCCAAGCAGAGGCAATGACATCACAGATTCTATGGGGCTCACAGTTCAGGCTGATCATTGAACAACGTGGGCAGGAAGGGAAAGCAAGGCAGGCACAATGTCTGTTTGAGTTTTTTGTTTTGTTTTGTTTCATTTGTTCTCTATTTTTTTAATTTAATTTTTATTTTATATTACGGTTGATACAATGTTGTGTTAGTTTCAGGTGCTTCACAGCAAAGTGATCCAGTTATACATATACATATATCCATTCTTTTTCAGATTCATTACCCATATAGGTTATTACAGAGTATTGAATATAGTTCCCCGTGCTGTACAGTAGGTCCCTGTTGGTTATTTATTTTATATATAGTAGCGTGTGTGTGTTCATCCGAAGCTCCCGATTTATTCCTCTCCCCACCAACATCTATTTGTTTTTAAAACTTTTTAAAGCATGTCTTCAAAACTGCAAAACAAAAACTAACACAACATTGTAAATCAGCTATACTCCAATAAAAAAATTTTTTAAATAAAATTAAATTTTTAAAAACGGCAGAACAAGAAAATGAGAGAACACTTTAATTTAAATATAAGTAAGAAGAATTCTGTTTCAATTATCTGGTAAAAATCAGTATTTAAACATTGTTCAGGGAAGTCTTTTGCTACAGTGAAGTTCTTCTCAACCAGGAGCAAGTTTGCCCCCAGGGGACATTTGCCAATATCTGGGAACATTTTGAATTGTCACAACCTGGGCGTGCTATCGACACCTAGTGGGTAGAGGCCAGGGATGCTGCTTAACAGACTACAGTACAAGGCAAAAGACAGCCCTTCACAGTAAAGAACTCTCTGGCCCTAAGTAAAAAATAGTGTCTGCTGCAATGTGTCTCTGATATGCTGTTTTTTTCCACCAACATGCCTATATAAAACTAATATTCCAGATTCACTGTCTTTGCTAGAAATAAGAAAAAAGTGTTATCCTGAAAAATCAAATGTCTAAAACTGTTCCTCAGGGTAAATAGCTATGTTACCAAAATCTAATATCATCTTAATGAAATGAGAAATTATTTTGAAGCTTTGCAGGGATAACTTGAGTTTAAAAATACATCGCAAGTATATATTGCTAAAGAGTATTTCCTGGCTGCTGGTCAATTGTGTATGTCTGTGACATCAGGCAAAATGTTCAAAGCTGACAAAATAACATGAGAATTGCATTGAAAACCTCTGTATTAACAGCTTACTTTATGCCGGACACTTCCCCAATCAAGTTCCTCAGCTTTACTGTTGAGAAGCTTCTGATGGGTCTGCCCTTGACATGTCCCACAGCATCCTTCCAGGAAGCACTATTTCTAGAATAATTGTTTAAATTATTAACCACTTAAAACAATTCTAGTATTATTATAAACAATAAACATTTAAGAAACACTTATTGAACATGAAATGAGCACTCGAATCCAGTTAACCATAAACATTTCTACCAAAAGAATGGGGTTTTCATTAAATAAATCTGCTGAATGAATAAGGAATTGTGAGGATTCATATACCTCATTTCTCGTTTCATGGTATTAATTACTTCTACAGGAAAAAAGAAAAGCCGTGTCAGTATAACCGTATAGCCACCATTTAGAAACAGGAGTCAATGATATATTGGAGTCAATGATATAAAGTCAAGTCATTTAAATAGATTCTACATGAAGAGTGGTTAGGAGACTAACTTCACAAACAAATTTCTCATGTCAAAGTGCTACCCTTTGTTCTAGCAATAAATGATCCTGTTGCAAAATAAGAATGATACAGCCTAGTTTAAAGAAAATGCATTCCTAATGCCATTTGCAGCAACATCGATAGACCTAGAGATTATCGTACTAAGTGAAGTAAACCAGACAAAGACAAATATCATATGATATTTGTCTTATACGTGGAATCTTTAAAAAATGACACAAAAAAACTTATTTACAAAACAGAAATAGACCCACAGACATTGAAAACAAATTTGTGGTTACCAAAGGGGAAAGTTTGGGGGAGGGATAAATTAGGAGTTTGGGATTAACAGATACACACTACTGTATATAAAATAGATAAACAACAAGGACCTATTGTATAGCACAGGGAACTCTACTCAATATCTTTTTATAACATCTTTATTGGAGTATAATTGCTTTACACTGGTGTGTTAGTTTCTGCTGTATAACAAAGTGAATCAGCTATAGATATACATATATCCCCATATCTCCTCCCTCTTGCATCTCCCTCCCACCCTCCCTATCCCACCCCTCCAGGTGGTCACAAAGCACCAAGCTGATCTCTCTGTGCTATGTGGCTGCTTGCCACTAGCTATCTACTATACATTTGGTAGTGTATATATGCCCATGCCACACTCTCACTTTGTCCCAGCTTACCCTTCCCCCTCCCCATGTCCTCAAGCCCATTCTCTATGTATGCGTCTTTATTCCTGTCCTGCCCCTATCTATTCAATATCTTGTAATAACCTATTAAGGAAAAGAACCTGAAAAAGAATATGTATGTATATACATATATACACATATATGTATAACTGCATCACTTTGCTGTACACCTGAAACTAACATGATATTGTAAATCAACTATACTTCAGTAAAAATTAAAATAAAAAAGAAAATGCATTCCATGCAAATGTTCTTTACACTTACATGCTTTTCCCCCCACTGCTAAAAATAAGAAAAGTCATCCTTCTATGAACGGCTGCCATTTAGTAACCACCCACAATGCTCTAGAACCCATGCCAGACATTCAGTGTGCTCTGTGCTTAACATCACAGCTACCTGGCTGGAGAGATGTTTTCCTCCCGAGAGGCAAGGCTTGGCCAAGAATTAGCAGCTCCACAACTCTCAAGAAGCAGACTGTGACTCAAAACCAGGAAGGTTTTACTCCACAGCCAATGACCCAGCGTGGTCTCCACCGTAGTAAAACTCACAAGTTTGAGAAAATTTAAGATTTTTTTTGTCATTCCTTTAGATTGTTCTTTGAACAATATCCTATCCTTCAAATGCCTAAACTCAGACAGCTCATAAGAGATTTCTGGAAGTTACACTCTAATTCTTGCCTTATAGCTAATTCCACAAAGGCATTTTTGCCCTGTGTAGTTCTGTTCATTTCCCAGTCCCAAGTCGTAGGGGAAAAAACACTTTGGGCTTCTGATGTATCTCCAAGCTCGATTTCTGTCTCTCTGCATGCCTTTGATCAGTTCAGACATTTGTCAGAGTTCATACACACCCTCCTTTGTAGACTGTCACAGGGCATGCAAGCATGATGTTTAGAGTCAACAAGAAGAGCCTGTGTGTTCTCTGCCTGAAACTTTTCATCCCTGCTCGGCTTTGTCTGTGCATGTGTGTGTGCGCGCGTGCGTGTGTGTGTGTGTGTGCGTGCCCGTGTGTGTGTGTGTAAAGAAGGATATTAAGACTTTGGAGGAGGCGGGTGGGGAGGAGAGATTCTGAGAGAGGAAGAAAGAAAAAAGAGGAAATGGAAAGAGAGAGGGAGAGTCAAGGGGAGAGGAGGGGGGAGCAGCTGCTTTGTAGCTGCTAAGACTGCAGACAGAAATAGCACACAACCACCGTGAGCCGATGCGATTCAGAAGGCAGGACCAAATTGTATTCACTTTCATTAATCAGTTTCTCTGAGGGAAGGAAATGACATCTGGTCCTGTCTTCCTCTACATCTTGATTTTTGGAAAATATTGTAAGTATGCTCAGCATTTAATTTTGTCTACCTTAGGATTTTATGAAATAATCAAAAGTACAAATGTTTATGACTGACATGTATGCTTTAAAGGTGCAACTGCTTTTTCTGATAAAACTGTTATCTCACTTCAGAATGATTCCTCTGAATACATTTCTGGTATTTATATTAAAAACTAGAATACTAACATGCCATGTAAACCTATGCTTCGTAACAACCAATTGGTTTGATATTTACAATTGTTTTATAAGCCATGGTATATTTCAAGAGGAGTGGTCCTTAAAGAGATTGTGTTCAAGGAATGTGCCCATTGACACATCCTGGGGAGGTCTGTACATTTGCTCCGGCTCCTGTGTGTTTATAAGTCTTCATCATCCTAGCCCTTTGTGATTTGTATCATAGGTACGCCTCCTTAGGGAAAGTTGCATTCAGAAAACTCCTTTTTTTATTTTTAGCACGGTTTCTCACTATTCCTTGAAAGAAAAACCAGGGAAAGCAGAAAGCGGTGAAAACCACAGACACATGAGGAGCCCAAATGGACATTTTACTTTGGCTATCATGACAGTTTTTTCTTCCTCTCCGTATACATGTTTTATTTTCAGAAAATCTGTTTTTTAATCAAAGGAAAGAGCTGTTCTTCATTAAACCTTATTGAAAGTTTATTAGGTAAATAGAAATAAAATGTTTCTTAGGTAATACATGATGAGGAAAGTCAAAGCAAATCAAGAAATAAAACTTTCTGGGTCCCTTTCATACCTTGTGATGCTGGGAATTATTAAGCTGTAAAAAATTTAGAATTCATAAGCATGTTTCCCTTTCTCTGTCTCTTAAAAGTTTGCAGAAGTTTATTTACATTAAAACATTCTATTGAAGAACATCTCAAAGTAAATTTCAGTCCTAACTCTCTCAATGCTGACGGCATGCACTGCACCAAAGTGATTTTTTTCCTTTATCTCCAGTATTCCTGACCTCTTAGTACACCTCACTTTGTCAGTCGAAGATGTGGGGTTGCATGTAACCAAGGAAATGACTCCAAATCCTTTGGAAACATTCTAGTTCCTAGCTTTCTCCATCTCTGATCTTATTGCTGACATTCCCATTTTTTAACTAGAGGATGAAAAGTCAAAGTGCACACCATCACCAAAAACCGAATGTTTCTAATATAATCCAAGTGTTTTGACTTTTGCAGCCAACACCCTCATAAATCCATAACATATTTTTCTATCTCCTCTCCCATTTCAATAAAATGAGCAGATTGAATAAGCCAAAGGAATACTTCCAAACAGGCATTCTAGGATGAGGGATTCAAGGGAATGTAAAAGGTATTCAGGGCAGGTAGAGAAGCAATTTGGCTAATGTGTTACCAGTCATTTGGTAAAAATGTTCTATGTTTAGTAAAAAAGTTCTATGTTCTCTTTTGTCAATAAAAAATTATCTTCATGAGCAGAAAATAGGTAATAGTGATGAAGATGATAATGTTCAAACCCTTCAACTTTTTAAATTTATCTTTGGACCTTTAAAAAATGTTGATAATGCATTGTCAACCTCCTCCCTCCATGCCTTCCAGAAGCAGAATTGGGCAAGCAAGACTCCTGGCTACATGCTGTCAACAGGGTGGGTGGGCTGGAGGGGCATTTGACAGGGGCCCTCAACCCAGCAACCCACACCCATGACTCACCAGTTAGTTTATCCCATCATCAAGCCCCACCAATGAGAGGATTTCCTGGGCATATAGCAGAAGAAGTCAACCACATAATGACAACGTCTTAAATCTCAGTAACTAACCCCATGGTTGTTGTTAGTGGTTTGTTTGTTAACCCACTCTCCTGTTGCCTTGAAAGGACAGTGTGCTATCATGGAAGATTTAAGGTGCTTGACAGCACTGCCCTGTACTAGCTCTATACTTTTCCACATGACTTACCCTCTGAGCCTTAGTTTGTAAAATGGCAATAAAGTCTTTTACCCTATCTACCGCCCAGAGCCCTTGTGTCCGGTTCTTTATTACATTAAGTGACCTCCTTGGATCTTCAGAACAACTCTATTAGGTAGATACAATTATGCACATGAGGAAGGAAAGACCAAGGACATTCAGTACCTTGTCACAAGACTCAAGCTAAGAAATGCCACGATTTGAATGCTTTCGTAGTCTACGCTCTTTCTCCCAGACCGTGAACATTCTCAGTAGAGATAATGTATACCACAGGGCTTTGAAAACGGGAAGCCCTTTATAGACCTAAGCAATTATCAGTCACCCTTTTAACCAAAAATATTTATCGAATGCCAGTTACTTTAATAAGCAATAAGACTAAAGGGTGTCTACAGCATGGTCCCCGCTCTGAAGGGTTAGAGTGGAGGAGAGAGAAAGTTATCTAGGGTCACCAAACTGTGAGACAAGGGCAAAAACCTAGGGGTGCACAGAGAGGGGTGACATTAAGATTCAGAAAAGACTTCCTTTCAGCCTTGAGAATTTTTTATTCTTAAAAAATATTCCTCCATCTGTTGTCTAATTAGCTGTATTGTGCCAATGTTAATTTCTGAGTTTTGATAAGGTACTCCGGTTAGATAAGATGGTTCCATTAGGGAAAGCTGGGTGAAGGGTATATGGGACCTCTTGTACTATTTCTGCCACTTCTTGTGAGTCTAAACTAATGTAAAATTAAAAGTTATAGAACAATCCCCTGTAAGAATTGTATCCTAAGTCCTTATCAGCACATGCTTTACTCATTACTTAAATGGTATCATCAAGCAAAAAAGAATCACTTTACTTAACACTTTGTTTACGCAGGGAATAAGTAAGGAAATAGGACATAGAAGGGCCCAGATATGAACTTGATCTATTTTAGTATTTTGCCAAGGCACAACCCATCTGGGAAGGTCCTCACTTTTGGATTCCAAGTGGCTACTTACAAGACCACATGGTCTTTGCCTTGGGTCTGGGTACTGGCATATCTTATAGCAACTGTCTTCTCTAACCACGAGGAAGAAGACAGGAAGAGCCTTTCCTGAACTAATCATCAGTACACAAAAACCAGACCTTTAGTACATGAAACAGGAGAATACTGGCATATTTACCCACCTCCAAAAGATGGAAGAAAAAACTTTCCAACATGCAGACTACAGAGTATCTAACAGTTCACCTGATATTTTTTAAGGTTGCTAACAGTTTAATATTGTTCTTACTATGAATTTGGAATCACATCTTTACGTTTTAAACAGAAAATTAACAATTCTGTGCAAATGCAGCACTATCATCTGTATAAAGATAAACAAATTATTACATTTTTGAACTAAGTCATTTTGCAAGCTTAATTTCACGCATTAGGACAAACCTATTAAACTGAAATGCCTGGAGTTGGGTATTCTAGTTAGGCTTATTTTTTGTCTGAAAAAATAAGCATTTTTTATTATATAATTTTTAGGTGTACAACATTATAATTCAACATCTGTATACACTACAGAGTGGTCACCACCCCACATCTAGTTACCATCCATCACCATACAGCTGGCGCCCTTCACCCATTTCACCCACCCGCCCCCAACCCCCTTCCCTCTGGCAACCATTCATCTAATCTCTGTATCTATGAGTTTCTTTTTGTTTTACTTCATTTGTTTGTTTTGTTTTTTTCAATTCCACATATGAACGAAATCATACAGTATTTGACTTTCTCCATCTGCCTTACTTCACTTAGTGTGATGCCCTCCACGTCCATCCATGCTGTAAATGTAATCCATGGCAGGACTGCATTCTCTTTTTATGGCTGAGTAGTACCTATTGTGGATGTATACCCCATCTTCTTTATGCATTCATCCTTTAATGAACAAAATCTGCACAGACCAGTTACTAGTAAGGGGATTGAAACAGTAATCAAAAATCTTCCAACAGGGCTTCCCTGGTGGCGCAGTGGTTGGGAGTCCGCCTGCCGATGCGGGGGACGCGGGTTCGTGCCCCGGTCCGGGTGGATCCCACACGCCGCGGAGCGGCTGGGTCCGTGAGCCATGGCCGCTGGGCCTGCGTGTCCGGAGCCTGTGCTCCGCGGCAGGAGAGGCCACGGCGGTGGGAGGCCCGCGTACCAAAAAGAAAAAAAAAATCTCCCAACAAACAAACTGTACACGTTTGTACCATTTTACTGTCAAGTTCTAGGACTGTGGTTATGGATGTGGTGGTCATTATATCTCCCATTTATCGAGAGCTTTCCATGGACCACAAACTGTGCTAAATGCTTTACAAACGTGATCTGATTTTATCCCTGTAACAACCTTAAGGGATATTCTCACTTTACAAAATAGGAAACAGAAAATGAGAAATATTAAGTCACAAGCCTGGCATCACCCCTTAGTAAGTGTTGCAAAAGAGTTTTCAGTCCAAGTCTGTGTCCTTGAATGGCCTACTCTAGTAAAACATGATTCAGTGCTAATGCTTTCTAAAGCTACAATATCTTAGAATTAAAACGGACCTGAACAGATCCCCTCATCTAGCCCCACTGGCCTTTAATTAAGCATGTTAGATATTTTTCCATTTGGGAGATGAAGCAATAGAGAAATATTGACGAGCCCAAGGTCACAGAACTGGTAAATCCAAACTTAAAGTTTCCACTAGAGCAGGCTGTCCTCACCCCAGGGAAGTTTGAGAAATCCATGCTCCATATTCATGCATGTCCTCCCATGGGCTGGTACCATCTGCTTTACATACACTTCTCATCGTGCACCGGGGATTGATGAATGAGGATAGATGTGTAAATAATGCGAATGAATAGAAAATTAAACTCAACCTGTACTGGTTCCAGGATTTTGCTTGGAAAGCACTTTTGCTTACAGCCCATGGCACAGAGCTTTACCCACAGGAAGTACCAGTACATAGTGACTTCATTCTCATCTTAGCTCACTTCTCCCGCCCCCTGGATATTTTCTCCCCTCGTTGTGTCCACAGTCGCAGCAGCCCTATTTCCTGTCTCACGCTCAGTGGTCCAACACTCTCTCCTCTTCTCAGCTCTGCATCCCCA